AGGAATAGCATTTGTGGTTACTTAGAATCACACCTCACCCCCTTTTATAATCATACCCCTAAGCAGCCGCAGCTTTTGCAGGTGGAAACCATGCAGTATATAAGGGGGAGGTCTACTCATCTCTACAGCACTTTGTATACCCTACTTAAGGAGGTTGAAAGAAACCTTGAAATATGAGGAAGTAAGCTAAGTAAGTCATAGGAGACACATGAAAAGAAACCTATTCAGTCATTACCGATCACACTGAAGTGTAACTATGTGGAAGGCTATTCACCATGAATTCCATAGAAAAACACAGTAACAACAGTGTGCAGGCAGATGCTTCTGCTAAGCCAAGGGAAGCTGCCTCCTGGACTGTACACACCTTCTCCTTCCCTCCACACTCCTCAGGCAGCCCCTGTAGCCTCCCAGTCACCACAGCCAACCTTCCAAGTGCTGCTTTCCACAAGGGGAAGGGAGGAGCAAAGAATGCCTTTTCACCTTCGCTTCCTCGGCCTGTTGATTGCCTACTACCTGGGCATGCTGACCAGTGCCATGAGGGGGAATGGTTACCTCCAGGCAAGAAGCTTCCTCCTAGCAAAGACTGTGAGCCAAATGAAGGACTCACTCACTCTCTGAGCAGAAGTGGGAAGGTTTGCAGAACGCAGATACTGAGAAGGGAGAGCTCCTCCAAGTCAGGAAGCTGACAGGAACATTTCCCACCTGATCACTGCCCTGAAGCGAGGAGATCAGTTGTCAAGGGAGGAGACACCTGCACCAGGAACCTAGAAGGCCCAGCAAGAATTCACCGTGTGGAAGGGGTGGAAGGAAAATCCACGGAGCACGCAAGCGCACAGCCCAGCCGACAGTGGGAACAGGACGTAGAGTGAAACTGAAGCATAAGATGTGGGTGGCCATGTGTCTCCATTGTAACGCATCTACACTTCCAGAACACCAGTAGAGCGCTCGCCCTCCAGAGTGGAGGTGCAGTGTCTTTTTCATCAGTGTTTTCTTTGCACAACAGTGTAGTATTTTGATGTTTTTTGTGTCAGTTATTATTAGCATTTACTAGTTGTGCAAAACAATGGGTCTCATTATGACATTTTCGTACAGGTATATCATGTACTTTGCTCATATCCCCCTCCTCGTTACCCCCTTTTGTTTCTCCTCCCCATGACAGCTAATATTTTTTATCTTCCAGAAGTGACCCTTTAACATACATGTTGTGTGCATGCCTCTGTGTGTGTGCACGCACACAAACATGCACGTGCACAGATGGGGTTTTCACATGAATGTGTGTGCACTGTAGGCATGTGCATTTGCATGTCGTTCCTCAGAAGTTCTCTGCCTTGTTTTTTGATACAGGGCTTCTCGTTGACCAGGGCTTGTGAGTAGACTAGGCCAGCTGGACAGCAAGCCCCAGGGAACTGCCTGAGTTTGCACCTCCATGGTTCGCTTTCTGTGTGGATGCTGGAGATCAAATCTGGTCCTCAGATTTGCACAGCAGGCACTGTTCCAACTTTGTTATCTCTCCAGCCCCGGCATGTCTTTTTTTTTTTTTTTTTTTTTTTTTTTTTTTTTTTGACTTAGCACAGATTACGGTCCATTCCATCCCTTTCCTGAAAATAACATCACTTCATTATTTATGGCAAAACAGAACTGCAATGGTGTTTTCATTTGCTTGAACTCAGGAGCAAGCTGAGTGAGGCTTAATGTAAAGATTTGTGTGACATGCCAGATCTGAACATAATTCTCATCATACTTAGGGTGGAAGGAGCCTGTGAGGAAGGCTTCAGAAAGCAGGATGAAGGAGGTACCTGAAGGGCATCTGAGTGTTGGGAACATCAGAGAACAGCTACCGTAGTAAGGGGTGGATCTGATGATTTCCCAGGTTTCAGATACTCATGCCATAGAGACAGCTGGTCCCATTAGTCTCAACTACTCAGGAAGCTGAGGTGGGAGTGGGAGGATTCCTGGGGCCAGAAGTGAAAGTCCACTTTAACAACAACAAGTAAACACAAAGGTATTTATGCCACAGAATCAAAAGTTCCGGAAATTAGGGTACTTCTAAAATGTTGAATTCAAAACTAAGCCATGAAAACTGGGTAGATGCAAGGCATCCACCATGAAGGCAACAGAAAGGCAGGTGTATTTTAAGCTGGAAGGGACTAAGCTAAATTTTAGATTCGCCTAAATGAATTTTGATGTCTAGATCTTCCATAGAAAACAGTCCGGAAGTAACTAAAGTCTGGACACTACAGAGTTGGTCTATGTGTCTGTAGAAGTTGAAGAGCAGTCAGGATCTGACCAGAGTGAGGCACAGAGATCAGTGAAGGAGGTGGGCAGGGCAGGCAAACGCTGCGCAAAGGTGGCTGTGGAGGGACCTCCTTGGGCCTCTGGGGACATCAGCAGAAGGTGCTGTAATGAGCAGCCAGGACCTTCCACTACCCAGCTGCCCACTGGTAGCATCTGACTTTGCTGTCTTCCACCTCCCTGCCTCCACAAACCCAGGTTCTGACAGAGTCACAGAAATGACTACAGCTCCCCGCACAGAACAGCCAAGGTAAGGCAAATCTGTCAGGTAAGCAAACAGCAAAACAAAAAAGTGTCAACCCTTCAGGTCAGCTGCCTTGCCTGTGCCTCATCTTCCTTAAATGTTCTAATACCTGCTCAAGGAGCTGAGATCCCACACAGAAATCTCATCCTGGGCAACAGCTCCTTCTGCGGTTTCCTTTTGATCAGGCAGGTATGGTTCATTCCGGTTCCAGGACAAGAGTTTCTGATAAAGAAGCATTTTGAAGACCGACTGCTTGGCCCAGCACTCCTAGTTTTCAACCAGGCATCTCTGCCCTTCTGCCTCTTTTCTTTTTAATCCATATGGACAAAAAGATGGTGTGATCAAAAGTAACTTGTACCGTGTTTCTAGAATCATAAGCACACTTATTTTATATAAACAATAGGATTCTAAAATAAGTTTCCACAGATTCATTCTAAGTCTGAGCACAAATTTCTCTTTTACATATTAAGTGATGTTTTCTAAGATTTCAGTATTTTAACCATAATATTGGCAAAGTAACTTCACATTCCAGTAACGACAGCTTAAGAGACAGAGCAAGAATTCTGTTACTTCTGCAAAGCAAAAAGCCTTTCTGAATAACCATGTTTGTCATGCTTTGAAATCGAAGGCAACCTGTCTGAATCTTTACCAGAAGATTAAAATGCCGTCTTATTTTGGAAATTATTCAGAGCTATAAAGCAATAGTAGAGCAAAATGGCTTCTCTATAATCAAATCCATTCAACTGACAGACTTTTGGAGGAAGATTACAGGCCTCCAAACATTCGTGAGTGCCTGCAACATGTTATTCTGTATTTCACAGCTATTTTTAAGGTGAGTCCATTTTCATGAGCTTGAGTGGACATGGGGAAACAAGCAAAAGCCTTCAGAGGGATGCATGGATTTTTATTATCAGTCACATATTAATGCATGCTTTGTTTTTGACTGAAAAGCAGCTCTAAGAGAAAAAAACAAGTAACAGTAGAAAAATCAGTGCTCTATTTAGCAGCCTAGGGCATGCTACTTACCCATATCTAACATCAAGTTAAAGAGGGCTTGGGGTCAATTAGTTCTCACAGCAACAAGCTTCGCAAAGAAAAGTAAGACAGCTTAAAAGCAGCAAGTTCTTTGTTGATGAACCAAACCAGGCCATTCTCAGAGTGAAAGGGGCTCCAACAGCTCTGGAGCCAGTGTTCCCTCTACCTATTTCAAGAGTGAGTGTGCTCTGGTTCTTTCCCCAGCTGGGTCCTTACCCTTCGCAATCAAATGCACCTGTTCAGACAAGCCTTCCCAAATCACTTCAACTACATTAAATCTGAATCCAGTTCTCTCTTCCAGAATCCTCTTTCATGTCCTACTTTGAGGTTGAAACAACTCACACTAATGTATCTGGAAATGTGGCCCATAGAAGTAACCAACCAGATCCCATGATGGCATTCATGGCTTTACCAGAGCTAGGGGAAGTGGCTGAGACACCTCTGGCTCTCTGTATGACGTCCTCTGACATGTATTGCTGCAACACGAGGCTGACACTATGTTCTTGGGCTTCCAGGCCTCCAGAACCATGGGCTAAATAAGTCTTTGTTACTCACAAAGTACTCAGGGATATGCAGTTGTAACAAGATAAGATGAACTAAGAAACACCCTCCATGTCTGTTTCTTACCAATCACTAGAATTCATTCTGCTGTTTTCTAGCATATCACTATCTTCTCCAGTAAAACAGAAGCTAACAGGCTTTGGAGGTGGCTCAGTTGGAAAAGTGCCATGTAAGCATGAAGACCTGATTTCAATTTCCAGAACCCATGTAAAAAAAGTTGGGCTTGGTCACACATGCTCTGCGTGGAGGTGGAGACAAGCAGATCCTCAGGGTTCCTTAGGCACCCAGCCTATGCTACTTGGCAAGCTCTAGGCCAGTGAGAGACCATATCTCCCAAACCAAGGGAGATGATGCCTAAGGAATGACACCCATTGCTGTCTTCTGGCCTGTACACACACGTGCACACACACACACACACACACACACACACACACACACACACACACACATACACACACACACACACACAAACACATATGGACATATGCTCAGGGCTGGGGAGGAGGTTGTATCTCAGATGGGAGCTATCTAGGGCTCAGTATTAAGTACCTACATGCCTAACATAAAATTAAATTTCACCAAAGTATAATTATTAGAAATGTACATTTTCATGTGTTTTACCAAAATGATAACGCCTTTTTTTTGTTTGTTGGTTTTCGTGTTTTTTGGAGACAGAGTTTTTCTGTGTATTTCTGGCTGTCCAGGAACTCACTCTGTAGACCAGACTGGCCTAGAACTCTGTCTGCCTCTACCTCCAGAGTGCAGAGAGTAAAAGAATGTGCCACCACACCCAGCTGATAATGCCTTTTTTTTTTTTTTTTTTTTTTTTTTTTTACTTAGCTGCAATTCCTGGTGGTCCTACTCCTGCCTGAGGCCATCTCCTCTCATTATAAGTGAAGTTATTTGACAGAAAATGTTTTTCCAGAAGACAAGAAACTTTTGGTAAAGGCCTCCCATAAAGTGGTCAGTGATTAGACCCAAAATAACAGGGGAGGCTCAGGAAAGCACCGTAAGCACGTGACTGAAACTAGTTTATTCCACTTTGTAGGAGCTTCCTTGTGTCAGATCCAGCTGCTGCTGTGCTCTTCCCTCAATCTAGTGACATCCGGTTTCCTATACCTCAGCCTCACAGCCTTAGAAAGGATGCCAGGTGCTGCAGCCTGGGTGCTGCATCAAAACTCCTGTGAAGATTGAACTCCCACAACGAGATACTAAAAGGTGAGTGAGACTAGGAGGAACCCTTCGAAGACCTGATAGTCTGGATGCCTCTGCTGTCATGAATGGATCAACCCACTCACAGATTGGTGGATTAGTAAATTAATGAGTTATCTCAAGAGTGGGTGTGTGGCAAAAGCCAGTGTGGCTGTCACCTCCTGCTCTGTGATGTCTTGAGCCCCTCAGGAAGTTACAGAGTCTCCACCGTTGAAAAGACTTTACCAAATGTGGCTTCCCCACTTCCAGAGTTTGCGCTTCACAAGGCTTTCTTTTTGTTTCCCAGGCCTGGGTATTTATTCATCTACAAGAGAAAATAGACTGAGAGGCATGACTTCTACAATCACATCCTCCAGGCAGGGAGAAATTATTCACAGCAACGCGGTGAAACAGTAGCGATTCTAAATCTGACAGCACATGGAAAGGCACACGAACACCGAGCTCATCACAATGGCAGTCTATGAAGCTTGACGGGTGTGTGGGAGAGCTGGTGAGCAATGCTGAAATCCCTTCAGGTATTTGTAGACCTTCTAAAGTTAAAAGCTAAAATTATCATTAAAAATAAAAAAAAATATTTTTAACCCAACATAAATTAACAATGTACCTATTTCAATTGCTCTTGGGCCGATTTTGGAAAATAGCTAAATAACTTGAGATTTGGGCATAAATTTACTATTTCAAGTATTATGGTATTTTGTGCTTCATTTTTCAGTTACAGGGTCTTTTTTTTTAATGTTACTAGCTGATTGCCAAAGCCTGAAGTCTCCCATTTTATACTCCAAACTGGCTTTCTGGGTGGGAACGGTGTCCAATATTTGCCTGTTGGTCTATTTGTATGTCTTATACCTTAAAAACAAGACGACACAAGAAAGAATGGGGTTGTTGATATTATAGGAAATCCATTTTGCACATCTTAGAGAAATTGTCTAAAATATCCTATAAGACGTTGCTGCATTTGAAGGGCAGTTCCTTTAGAATATGCTTTGTACATAGAAAAATCAACCAGAGAGTAAGATTACAAAAATTCAAGCCATTTCACAAAAGCTTCCACTGAACAAGGAAAGTAGAAAAACTGGGAGAGGTGGGGCTCCAAGCTGAGGACAAAGAATGGGCTACCTGTCAGAAGAGAAGGGGCAACACTTATTTGTTTGTTTATATTGGCCTGTTTTGTTTTCAGGGTGAAGTAAAACATTACTGTACTATGCAGGCTACTCCCCGGCTCAGCTCAAGAGACCTTCCTGTTTCAGCTTCCTTCCTGCAGTTGGGATTACAGGCAGAGCACACATCACCACACCAGAGACAATGACAGAATTGAAAATGAAATTATCAGTGTCAACAGGAAATCAACAATTTGCTTCATTGTCATTACTGAGGCAGAATCAACAATGAACCTTGTCTTGTCTCCTACCTCTGAATACTCCGTATGGCTTAGGTTAAACAAAGGCAGGCCCATGTTGACCTGAAAGGAAGTTCTGCTTCAGCCCTCAGATTCACAGAGGCTCCAGCCAGCCTAGCCCCCAGACAGCAGCCCCCATCCGCTCCCAACTGCCTCCAAAGCACACTGTGGGCTTCTGGAGAATGCATGGTTAAATGTGTCTCGGATCCTAGCAACACAGAGAGCTTGTGACCACTGTGGGTTTAGAAATAAGTTTCTCCAAATTCTCAAAACTTACAATATGGGGCTGGAGCAATGGCTCATCCATTAAGAGCATTTGTTGCTATTACAGAAAATCTGGCATCAGTTCACATTACTCCATGGTGGTTTCCAACCATCTAGCACTTCAATTCCAGGAGATCCAATGCTCTCTTCCGACCTCCTCAGGTACCAAGAATACACATAGAGCGCATAAATTTAATCACTTAAAACACTTGTACGAATAAAATAAAATAAATCTAAAAGCAAAACAGGATACTTAACTTATCCTTAGAAGACATTGTTTTCAGTTTGTTGATGTACCATTAATGTCCCATGTCTCAACTTTCAGTGAGGCAACGTTTTACTTTTAAAAATGTGTGTATCTTGACTCATAAAGAATGCCTATTCCCTCCGGGCAGCGGTGGCACATGCCTTTAATCCCAGCACTCGGGAGGCAGAACCAGGCAGATCTCTGTGAGTTCAAGGTCAGCGTGGTCTACAGAGCGAGATCCAGGACAGGCACCAAAACTACACAGAGAAACCCTGTCTTGAAAAAACAAACAAACAAAAAAAAATGTGTATTCCCAAAATGATAATTCAGGCCAGAACTGTATACAACATACCATAAATGGATGCCTTAGATGTTCTCAAGTACAAAGTTAGCTTATTAATTACTCTGACATTACCTGGGCATAGTTTTGCATTTGCTTAATTAGCTAAAAATAAGACAATATATATATATATATATATATATATATATATATATGACTATAAATATACTGATTTGTATGTAAACATTGACTTTATTGAGCTGACTCACCTGCAATTTACTTTAAACTTTAGTAAACTTTGAAGATGTTAACATCTACATGAAATCAAAGGAGATTTTTCATTCAAGCAACAGATGTAATAAGTCATTTCTAATCAGCAACTGGTTTTTACATTGAAATGGGGAAAGTGATCAAAATAGACCCTGAAAACCCATGCAGAATGTCAACTTATTTCAATGCCTGAGCCCAGAACCACAGTCTAAACTTAATGGAAAATACATTTGCAGGAAGGTGAAATGGAGACTAGTTATTACACTCAGGAAAGATGAAATATTAAGTCCTGGCTGTCTGTGAACCAAATTTGTCTTACATTCACTTGGCAGCAAGTTCTTTGTTGTTTGGTATTCTGGACCTAGAAGCCTCCTGTAGTTCAATGAGAATAAATGCTTTAGTGATGTTGGCAAAACCTCAGAAAAGCAATTTGGTGGGTTCCTAAAGTAAATAAATCGCAAGCGGAGGAAGGGGGAGAAGGCAGAGCCGATTTCTTTCATGAAAGCCATCTCCAGCTTTTAACATCTTTGTTAGGAGACTAAATGCTGAGAACTCTGCGGTCAGCTTACGTGATCAAATCAGACTCCAACCCCCACAAACCCAATGTTCTGCTCTTTGTATCATGTGTTATTTGAAAGTATCAAAGAGTTTTCTAACACTCTACTCTTATTCTAGACAAAATACTCTTTTCTGACCTTTAAATCGCAAGAACTGATAGCACTAAGGATGCAAAGTCTCTTAAAATGCATCAAAGCACGGAGGAAATGTCCTTCCCTTCATTCCCTCAGCCCCTGGGCTGCTGCTTTCGATTTCTGCCACTTCTCCCAGGGGAGCTGAATGCCACGCAGCCCCAGAAATTGCCCCTGGAATTTAGTGTTTAGGATCTGAGAAACTGTATAAGGGCATAGTCTCTTAAGAAGCAAACATAGCTGGCTTTGATTAAGTCTATTTCTTTTGTTTATTTGTAGTGAAAACTAGCATCAAAAAACTCTCACGAAAGTACACAGGGCTGCTGGAGATGGCGCAGTAGGTAAAGGTGCCTGTCACAATCCTGATGACCATAAGAGTGATTTGTTTCTCCAGTGAGATTCTCTTGGAGGAAACTAATTTTTTTTTTTTTTGGTTTTTCGAGACAGGGTTTCTCTGTGTAGCTTTGCGCCTCTCCTGGAACTCACTTGGTAGCCCAGGCTGGCCTCGAACTCACAGAGATCCGCCTGGCTCTGCCTCCCAAGTGCTGGGATTAAAGGCGTGCGCCACCACCGCCCGGCCCAGGAAACTAATTTTTTATTAGTGGCATTCAATTGGAGATAGCTTCTGGGTTAGGTGATGGGGATGCGTATTCACTTCTTTCAGTTCTAGGACCCCCTCTGGTGCAGGCTCTGTGCAGGCTGCCTCACTTTGCGTTCATATGTGCCTCAATCTTGCTTAGAGGGCCACATTTCTTTGGTGTCCTCCCTCCCATTCTGGCTCTTACACTCCTTCTACCTCCTCTCCCACAATGTTCCCTGAGCCCCGAGGAGATGGATTTACTAAACACATCCCATTCAAGGCTGAATGTTCCAAGGTCTCTCACTGTCTGCATATTGTTTGGCAGTGGGTCTCTATATTTGTTCCCATTTGCTGCAAGAGAAAGCTTCACTGAGGGTACCTGAACAAGGTACTAATCTATGAGTATAGCAGAATGTCATTAGGAGTCATTTTATTGCTACATTACTGTAATAGAACAGAAGAATTTGGTTTAGGTATAGGTCCCCAGGCTATCTGGTCTCAGGTTCTTTGCCATCTAAGCATAGGGTATGGGTTCCATTTGTGGAATGGGCCTTAAGTCAAATCTCGAGGAGAGGAGCACGATTGCTACACCCTTCAGGGAGACCATCCCCCACTGCACGCCAGCTCCAGGTATAGCCTGACTTCCCGATAAGTCAGGATAACTTTCCCTCCAGAGCTGTAGCACTCGCAGACCTTAAGGAACAATCTCTTTGTAGGGCTCCCATCTAACTACAGTAATGTCATCCATCCAGGGAGCAAACATTCAGTGAGTGTACCAGATGTGTGCCATCTCATCACATGTATCCATAGATACAATAGCATCTATTGCTAGCCTCATTTTGATGACAAATAAACACAGATAGGGAAAGGCTGGGGTATTATTCAAGCTTACGCAGAAATTTGGTGAGTTGGAATAAAAATTGGCTGGAACCATTCCCAAGCAATGGGACCCACAGATGATAACTCATGCAAGAGCATGCCAGTGAGGTGAGGTGCCCAGCCAGGTCATGTGTGTGACATCAGGATATACACAGGGGATCCAAGAAAACAGGAGATCCAGGTGGTAGAGGAGACAAGCATGGTGTCAGGGGAAGAAAGCAGACAAATCCAGAGCTGGAATAAGCCTGGGGAGTACTGGAAGCCTATGACGGGGCCTAACTAGAGCAGGACTATCTCCCCCACCACAGACATCACCAATATCTCCCCCTTACCACCCTTCTGAGGCTTATGCTACACAGTTGGCCCTGAGACAAGTGGTCACAAACAGTGCTTGGACAACCCCCACACCTGTACTGGATAAAGATATGTGCATCAAATTGTGTTCCTACAGAATTCTCTTCATTTAAAAGTCATTGCTCAAAACTCCAGTCCCCACAATAAAAGTTGAGCTAAAACTGATATCACTTCAATATGCCAAGACATACTTTATAGGCTAATTACAAAACTCAAGTGGTTAAAAAAATGGTTTAACTGACACTGTTGGTTCTGGGAATTGTGGAATTCTATTTCACCTATAAAATAGCAATGATTTGGTCTTTTGGTAAATCTGACAACTTACTAATCAATTAGCATACAGCTTAGCATATAGCTTTCAAAGCATGATGTTTCATTTGTTGAGGTCTGGTGGATTGTTTTCTTAATACTGTGATTACCCAGATGCCACCAAAGGTTGCTCTATGGAACTGGATCCACTGCAAGACAGGATAAGTCTCTACAGTATATTCATACCACAGAGAAAAGATTACTGAAAACAGTGACTAAGGTACATGGTATGGTTTTCCACAAACAC